CAAGCTTCTAACTTTTGAATTATTGTATGAAGGTGCCAAATTTGCGTGTTGGCTCGTATACGCTAGCCGTTCACCATTTCAGTTTCAACCAGCACCATGCTGAAAATTGTATTGTATGATGCGACACTGATGCTTGAAGCTTATCATTATCCGAGTTAACTATCTTCCATGTCGCAACAGGTACTGACAAATTTGCTTCGTTTATCTCTACTTATTCATATTTTGGTTTAATTAAAAAAAATAAAAATAAAAATCATTCACCTTAAAGCAAACACACACTGACTATGTATTATGCCTAACCTCAAACACCCAATCTTTCCATTCAAGAAGGAAAGCTTATGTCATCTGTGCGGCATGTGCTCATTGATAAGGTTATATTAGTTTATGGGCTCATTTGACAACCACAATTGTACTTCTGTTTTGACTCGAAACAGAAACAAGAAACGCATTGTGTTTCATGAGACATGCTTGGTAATGTATATTTATTATAAGATTTTTGAAAGTAAAAATATAAAAACGCATTTAGTAAGAAGGTGTTACAAGTTTGAAAAATTAAATGATTAGTTAAAAGGTTGGTTTGTTTTTATTTATTTTATTTTTTGTTTTTTTTTTACGACTAAGTATCTTTGCTGCAGTGCGAAAATAACCGGAAATATTAATACTTCCTATTTTAACTTCTTTTTCAAAAGCACTTCAATACCATTACCAAACACGCTTTATATTTTTGTTTTGTTACAGTACACTTTGAAACATTGATGGCCAAACACATATAGCTTTGCTCAAAAGACAGTGCTCTTGCTTTTGGGCTTCTAGACTTATGTAGCTTTGCTCTATTTGGGCTAGCCCAACAGACTACTCCAACTTTCCTTAGAGGTCAATCTATCCCTCTCTTTGCAATTTCTCTCTCCCCCTCTGTGTGTGTGTGTGTCTCTCTCTGTCTCTCTCTCTCTCTCACACACACAACAGTTTATATTAGAAATGGTTTGACCTGTATTTGTTGTGTGTGAATTATAATGTTCCGCGGTTTTTGACTAACATACGGGTTTTCCTTTTTCTTTGTGGGGCCACTTGGTGTGTAGTTCACATGTGAGCATGTGGGCCTACAAATGTTTATATTCTCAAGCCACATGATCAGCATCACTGCTCCTAAAAGGGTTGAAAAAAGTGAAGGTGCATTGTATAGGCCCTGTTACACACCATGTGACACGTTTAAATAACCTTTGTTAATGGGTCCATTTGGACTCCATCTGTAGGGTTTGACCCTTCCATGGTCCACACACTTTGTTTGACCACTCAAATATATTACATAAAATGTAATATAAATCAGTGTCAGATCCCATTTATTTAGTCTCTAATTTTATCTTACATATTCAAAGATATTAATGGATACAACGCCCTAATAACAGTTGATACTTAGACCCTTGAAGCTTTACCTTGTGTAAGATGTGTTTGAATCCTCCACTACAAGTTTACAACAAATCTCTATTGTAGCATGCTGTAAATTTTTTTTTTTAATATACTTAAATACATTTTTAACACTTTTTTAATATATGTTTTATGCGTTAAAATTTAAAATAAATGTGTTCCAACACAAGTAGATATTATTTTTAATTTTAATGTACTTAAATTGTATTTTAATATATTTGTTTTAAAAAGTTTTTAACAATTCAATTTTAGAATAAATAAGGACCTAAATATTAAAAAGATTAAAGTGTCCCTCCTTTTGAATTTGTACGCGAGAGTCCCATTCCCGCTGCTTGTTCCTCATCGGAAGTGACCCAAGGTCGCTAGTCGCAAAAAAACAGAACCTCACAAATTTGACAAAATAAATGGAGGCTCTTCTTCATCTTTGAATTTCACATATAGATTGAATTTCTAAAGAGAATGGGAGTTGAAAATTGCGCAATCATGGGCATTTGTAATCAGTTGATTTTAGGTAAACAGTTGAAACTTTGTAGAGAGAGAAGAACTGGACAATCAATTTCTCTTGAATTGTTCAATATTTCTATCTTTATTTCAATATTTCAGATGATTTGCTGTAAGAATTAAATTTTCGGCTAAAAAAGCCAAGTGAAAGCATTAATTTCTTTTGTTTCAATTCAATCTTCACATATATATCACAGATTTAAAGATGATGCACACCAAGTCCGAAACAGATTCAACCAGTGTAGCTCCAATCATCACCGAGATGCTTCTTCATTGTGTGTGTGTGTATATATATATATATATTAAATTTATAAGAGCATTATTGGAAGATAAAAGGAAATTTTTAAAATTTTATATCTTAAAAATGTAGCGCGTATAAGACTAAGACTAAAATTTTAACCAAATAGTTATCTCAAACTCTTCTTTGATCATTTTTTACTAAAATTTTAACAAACAGTGACTTCAAACCCTTCTTTAATTATTTTTTTCAAACTTGCGGATTTATACACAATATAGACGTTAGGGTATTTTTTTGCCCGTTGTTCTATGATCCGAAGGACATTATTGCAAATTGAAGCATTTGTGTACTTGATGGTAACGTGCCAAGCACGTGCACTTCTGCATTTCTCTTTTCTCAAGGGACCCAATGAAATATTCATAGTTTTTGTTGAGTTCACATGGACATGGTCGTTTGGAATCCAATGGTCTGTCTCTTAACCATTTCTAACAACAAATGATCCATTCTTAGTACAGTATATGACTAGGAGTATGAGTTCATTATTGCTAACCGTACGAACGTTTGCATTGGAAAAAACATTTGACCAGTCAAATCATTTTAGAAAAATTTAAGGGACATTAATAGACACAAAAATATATATATATATACACCCGGTCAAATAGACCAATCCACCGTCACAACTGTATTATCAGTCTCATACAAAATATTAGAAGAAATAGATTGAAAACAAACCTAAAACTTCATATTAGATGTTGTCAAGTACAAACTTACTTTTGTAACCTTAAATAAATAAATACACACACACCACAACATGTCAACAACATAGTTCAAATGAGTTCAAATGAGAGGTTGAGTGTTCAAAACTAAGGGCAATACTATGCGTGTGTGAGTGAATTTTTCACGGAATAATAATAATAATAATAAGCAGAAAAATATTTATATACACACCTTTTCTCAAGTAAATAGGAGAGACCTCAAATATATATCTGTATAACATACATGATCTACTAGTTCTCCCACTAAAAAAAATTCTTAGTATTATTTCCTCTGTTTAAAAAAAAAGTCTGTTTTGGGGAACCATCACGGTTCCCCAAAAGAGACATTTTTTTTTTGGGGCGGAAAGAACATTATTATTTGGCAAGTTAATATTATTCATAGCATTAGCAAATCTTCTCACTCAAACCATCCTAGAGGTTGTGCAGAACGCCAGTAGAAGCCCAATTCGACTCAATTTCGTCACGAGATGAGTGAGTTAAGCACATCACCCTAATTTAAATATTTGGAATCATATCTGCTCTTCAAATAGAATAATTTAAAAAATCAAACTCTCTGACTGCTGATACAGATGGAAGCATGTGAATGTGAATATTATATATCTCCCAACTTAATTAAGGTATAATATAGTAGTATTAGTACCTCTGACTCATGTAATCCAGTGTTTATAGTCATTTACTAAGCAAGAAATCTAAACTAGGGGTCTCTATAATTAATCTCCCATTACCTGATAAGATTACAACCAAAAATTGATATCTCGAAGAAAAAGACTGATCTTTAGAATTCTCAAGCTTTTTAGCAGTAGAGCTGCTCTCACAAGACTGATCATTAGTAGGATTCATCCATCAACAGTCTCTTGCATAAATTATATCATGCTTGCATTTTATGCATTTAAAAGGAAGGAAATATATATATATATATATGCTTAGCAATAATGTAGAAACTAAAAAATAAATCCGCCATTGGATACCTTGCATGGGACAGTGGAAATGGTACATTCCAACCAGGGAAAAAACAAATGTACAACTCATTATTCTGAAAATTATTGTCCTTACCACTATAGTTTGACAGATACCTTCTACATCTCTCTCACACACACATTGCCACTAGAATTACAGTGATTCTGTGAATAAACTGTAAGCAAATTTAATGTATTAACTAGGCTTCCTCTAGAGTATTTAACTGTGTATGTGAAGGGATATATATATATATATATATATCATAAATAAATAAATAGGAGCACCATACAACCTTCCCACGGATATTGGGTTCTCGCCCATGGACTATGTATATGCATAGGCATATAACTTAATTATGTTGAGCTTTGATTTCTTTTATATGAACTCCTTTCATTTACTGCACCCCGATCAAGATTAATAATACTTCGGAGCTGCATCAACTTGGATTCATTCCCCAAATACTCCTATCTGGAGGCAATCTATTTTTACAGCTTTTGTCGATTGTGCAGTAGAGACCAAATTTTTTGGCTCATTGAGCTCTTTCAATTTAACTTATTGATCAACTTGATCAAGTAACTTTACAAGTAGAGCCCAATTGACATTTAAATGTATAAGATTTATTTTAAACTAATCATTTGACTTACTCAAACTGCTTCGTTAAAACTGATTAGCATTTTCCGTTACACTCCTATCAGGGTGTCCAGTGGTATATTATTCAAATCGTAATAATCTTTTCAACCCATCCTCAAAGAAATCCTTGTATACAAGTGTATCTTCCTAAAAGTTGTAATAAAATATAAGATAAAGTATGACTGTTGTATGGTGCACCATACAGGAGTCGTATCTCCATAAGAAATGATGGATCTCCAAAAGGAGGTTCAAGAACCAAAAAGTTCATACAGAAGAAAAATTAGATGGAGACATGGAAGCACCAAAGCAGTAAAAAAGTAAATGCAACATGCAAACACACAAGAGCCCATACAGATGATTGCAAGCATAAGCATGTGCTCCCAACACTAAATAAACACTAGACAACACCCACATGAAGGCTTTTCCCCTCTTGTCCCTAACTTGCTATAAATAGATATAAACGCTCCACTACAATATGGTCTACAATTTTCTACCATCTCTCTCTCTCTATCTCTATATCTCTCTCTCTATTATAGAAGGAAGCTAAGGAGAAAAGATCAACCTCAGAATCTGCCAGTGGTAATGGAGTACTACATGGATGAGAAACGGAAACTGTCGAAGGATGAATCGAGTAGCTATTCCTCTACTTCTTCAAAGTCATCTCTCATGAAGAGCTTCTCACAAAAGAGCTCCACCTCGAAGTCTCCCCTTCTAAAGAGTTTCTCCAAGAGCTCTTCTTTCAAGTCTAATCTCTCAAGGAGTTCTTCACAAAAAAGCACTTGTTCCAAATCTCCTCTTTCAAGGAGTTCTTCACAAAAGTGCTCTAATTTTAGCCGTAAATGTAGTAGCTTGGCAAAGGAACAGAGGGCAAAGTTTTACATCGTGAAGCGCTGCGTCACAATGCTTGTGTGTTGGCATAAGCACGGTGATTCGTAAAGGAAAGAGATCTAGCCATATAGAGAGCCTGAGCAAGAGGACAATCTTTATCTTTGCTCCCACTCTCTCACTTTTCTGGCAGATGGCTATTGAGTTTGTTTTCTGCCATCTCATTGAGAAGAAGTGATTAATACAAAATTTTCTCTTTTATGTATTTAGATTTAGATTCAAAGATGATGAGCAGTAAGCTTACAAATTTTAAACATTAATATGACATCAGTAGTTCTCAATCAAATCCAATTACTCAAAAAAAACTCCTCATTTTGTGTTTGGAGGGTGAGCTGTATTATTTGTCATCTCTTTCATCTTTTTTTGTGTTCCTCTTCTTTTTTCAATCTTGTTCTATATTTATGTTCCTTTTTTCTTGATGAGAGAGAGATTCCCTTCAGTCATGGGAACCATAAAATACAAGAAGACATAACTAGTAAATAGATCCACATAGGGAATGCAAATGCCCCCTTTGGAGAAAGAAAGAAAGGGGATCTGTTAAAGAGTGAGATCCCAAGAACATATAATACCCAGAGATTTATTTTGATTTCAATATCAATTTGGGAATTGAATCCTCTTGTTTTGTTGCTCACCAATATCTATGCATCCTTTAGTTTTGCCATGTAAGCACCATAAGAGTTGTTTTTCTTTCCTTTTTTTCCCTGATGACTAGAGGGTATTAGATTATTCCCATGCCATTCCTTAATCCGGAGAAAACTTGGTGGAGCTGGTGCTAATGAAGGCAAGTCAAACCTCAATGTTGACTGTGTTACCCTCGGTGGGGTTACACCACTATTTCTATTCATACATTTCAGAGGTGCCATATTGTTGGCTTGCAGCTCTGTTAGCAAAGGGAAGACGATGAAGAACAATTTGCCATCTGATTCTTACAAGCTGAAGTCTTACTCAAGATGAAGAATGACATTTTGGGCAATTGAGATTTGAGACAAATGCATATTTCTTCTCTAATTCCACAGGAAGTCCAATCTACCAATGCCAACCATCTTTATCAAGTATCAAGTGTGGGTATGTGATCTTTTTGGCCTCCTAATATTAGGTGTAACATGGTCTCCAAAACACCAAGCACTTGCTTGATGGGAACAAAGTGTGTCGGTGTGCCTTAATTGCCCAAAAGCTTCATGGTTTCCTAGATGAAACTCATTTAAGTTTGAATAGTAAGAGATTAAGAAAGCATATAAAGCTTTAAATAACAAATTCAATCCGGGCTTCAGCTCATCTCTCCCTTTTGAGAACATGCTTGTTGGGTCTGTCTCTAGCTACAGCTTTGTCTAACACATCTTATAGCCACATCCATAACAAGTATCTGACACATATCTACCCAGAATTAGAATTCATTCTAGTTCCCATATATTTAGCTAAAAATCACATGCCATAAATTACAACAAATAGGCACATGTGAACAACGCTTCATCCAATTAGGCTCAACCAGACAAATTCAGCTACATGCTTCATCCATAGATGTTGCAACTTTTTCTACATTAGTAATAGCTGCATAGGATTATCGCTGCCCGTGAATGAATGTACAAGACCAAGCCGACCAGAGATCAAGTTTAATTCAAATTTCCTGGATCTAGTTAAGAATTAATTAATTTTCTACTAGATAAATCCCTATCTTAACCATTTTGAGTAGGTCTCATAGTTATAAGCCACGCTACTTTAACCACGGTCAACCTAGCTAAACATGCCTTCATCACTAATCACTATCTCAACAAATATCATCTTTGTCCCCATTTTCCTTGCATTATTGTCAACCAGAAAAATACTCCCATCAATGCAACCATTTTGAGTGGTGATTGTCGGCCCAAGTCATAAGCTTAAGTGCAACATGTCTAAGCTCACTTTTGTAGATGACCTTGCATTTTTGTGTCACCATGGACTGATTGGGCAAATTGAGGGTCGAGGATTATAGAACGGTAAAGCCAATTAATAAGGACAAGCTAGCCCTCCAAGGCCATTCATACTTTATTGCGCCCTACCAAGAAAGTATGGAATGTTATCACTTATTGAGTTAATCATACTCGGGTCCTAGCTAGCTTTTGCCTGGTTCTAGTCTTATTGACCATGTTCTACAAATATTTGAGCTACTTTTTAAAAAAAATATACAATTCCAGAATGGAAAGACCTCCAAGGCATTCATTTTCAAAGAACATCAGAAGATTCAAAATACAAGGTCCTTTGTCCCTCTCTCCTCCCATTCAGTTTTTGCCACCATCTCCCACAGATCCGAAAGTAGTTCTTAATTCCTCCAAAGCATGAGTGTTCCGGGCAATGTTGAATCAACTAAAGAAAACATAAGGTGTCTTCATAAGCCACTTTAATCTAATGCACCTCATTGATCCCTCCCCACTCTTCTTCCTCGCCTATTTCATTCAATGAAAGGAACACCATTGTCCCTCCTTTGTCCCTCTCTCCTCCCATTCAGTTTTTGCCACCATCTCCCACAGATCCGAAAGTAGTTCTTAATTCCTCCAAAGCATGAGTGTTCCGGGCAATGTTGAATCAACTAAAGAAAACATAAGGTGTCTTCATAAGCCACTTTAATCTAATGCACCTCATTGATCCCTCCCCACTAGTGTCTTTTGGCCCACCATTAGACTCTCATTATCAATAATAATGTGTCACTGTGCATTGCATATTGACAAAGCATATTGCAATAAAAAGAGTAGAACACTTGGTGTGAAAATTATATGCCATTACTCAAAGCAAGTACACTTGTAAGTTACACACAATTTAATTCAGCAAAATTTGTGTTAAATTATATGCGATTATTTGATACTTAATCCACAAGAAGTCCCACTAATTCAAAGACCGGTTATGATAATATAAAAAAAAAATACAGTATATTGTCACTTCATCATCATCATCAAATTTAAAATAGTCGATCAAAATGCAAAATCAGAACATATTTCATTATGATATTTGCTTTTGCAAAATAAAACTCATATTATCATATCAAATCGAAACTCGAAACCTAATGGATTAACTAATGTAAACAACAGTAAGCAAAAGCGCAAACCTAATTATTTGAAAACAAAGGTTCGCTTACCTTGCCGGTTCATATCATCGATCACTCGCCCCTCTTTTGGTATGCGCAAAATGGTGTTTGAGATATTTTGTAGTGGAATGATAGCAGTGGGGCCGGCCGAGGGAGGGCGGTGGTATGCCATCGATTGGTCACCGGAGTTTGTCAAGCGGCGTCACTTCTCCCACCGTCAGAAACCGAGTGTTGTGTTCAGTTAAGTGTCATCGGGAAATAGAGCCACGTCACGAAAGACACATGACCCACGTTAATGGGTTGGGTCTTTGTCCGCCACCTAAATTGAGCTAATCGCGTCTTTAAGTTTTACCCAAAGGAAATTTCCGGGATAGACTAATTTGAGAGCTAAAAGTGCGGAAACAATAAAATTAAATTATATATAATAAAAATTTGAGTAAAAGTGTACGCCAAGACCTACGTCCTTCCCTCCCAATTTTTATTTTTTTTTATTTTTTTAAAAGGATAAGTTTTAATATCTTTTTATTAAATTAATGCTGAATCAATTATACACAAATGTTATTTTTTATAAATTTAATGTAAGAAAGTTAAAAAAATAGTACGTTAACTTTTCCATTCGGACATTTATTTTGAAATAATTAAAAAATATTATTTTTTAAAGTATAATTTAATAGTATTTTTTTTACTTTCTGACAAAACAAATAATTGTGTGTCTGAAAAATTATTGGATACTCTGGATAACTAATAACCGATCAAAACTATCATATTATTGTATTTTGTTTTTTTCGGGCTATTAATCAACAGTCTAACACAATGGGTAAGTGAATAATGAATTTTTTGAGCGAAACGTTAATCAGTTTTAGTTCTCGTTAAGTCATATCATATATATATATATAAAGAGGTTTGGTATAATATGGGATTCAATTAAAGAGAGAGAGTGTGATTAAACTTCCCACAACTCCTGAATGATACAAAACCGCCTCCACAAGTTTCTTCTCTTTATTCACAATCGACTCTTGCGGAATATTGTGAAAAGCAACACAAACAAACAATCAACCAACCAACTCGGTAGTGAAGTTGACTTTTAACGACACTTCTCTATGAATCTTTGTCACATTAAAATTAAAACATACAGAAAAGGAAAATGAAGAAGAATTATTAAAAAAAAGAAAAAGCCATGGCAAAGGTAAATCCTTAGAGGAAGATTCTCAGATTCTCAGTAAAAGGTCTTAACACTTGGGAAGATCAGACGGTGGAGGAAGCAGCTTCTGATTGGGCAGCTTCCCATCCAAGACTACCCATGCCATCTTCAACCCCCAGCTTATATGAACTTCGAAGTGACAGTGCATGAACCAAACCCCTGTACAAGAACATCATGTATTTTTAATAATTAAGTTGTTAACTTAATTAGTTAATTATGAGACTAATGATAAATTGTATAAATATCATAGAATTAAATTTCTTCATTAGTATGTGCCACCATAACCATTAGGTCCATTACCCAAAAAATTAGAAAAATCAAAATCTATCTAGTAAATTAACATATTGCTACTCTGGCCTAAAATAGTACTTGAAAATATATATATATTTTTAATAATGTTTGTTCGAACTTCGAAACAAAAGCTTTTATACTTTAGATATGTTTCAGGCCTAAATTATCAGCTCAAATATCAAATTTTCTGTAACATAAGGACTACTCACCTGGGTTGTCAGCTCGAAACCGAATGGCCAGCCATCCACCAGACGGCACACCAATTGTATTCCTCTCCACGGGATCAACAAGGTTGAAGTTGGGAGGGTCCTTGTTAGGATCAAAGTTTCCGAACCCTTGGCCGACGACGAAGAAGTTATAGCCATGAAGATGGAAAGGGTGGCTTTCAGCCCCAAGAATGCTAGTGTCCTGCAAAACCACTTCAACAGTGGTGTTAAATGGAAGCACCACCACCTTGGTCCCATTGACCACATTGGTGTTATTGGGCTGTGTCCCAGTATAGTTGAATGGCATTAGAGGGTTGTTTGGGAAATCTGTGGCATAAACCCCTTTGGACTGCCCAAAGAAATGGGACTGAAGGAGTGCTCTCGTAGGCAGAACAAAGGAGATGTTGTTGACCGAAGCAGCAAATTTTAATCTCGTGTTGTTATTAGGTCCTTGACAAGTTTGGTTTTTGGGGCACGGGGTGGTTCCAAGGCCTACGGTGAAGAAAAACCGCTTTCGGACAGTTTGGGGCACTTTAGCAGGGAATTGAGAATTGGCCAAACTCCGAAACTTGTTACTGAAATTCGCGGCGAATGAGGTAGCATTGATTGGTGGGAGGCTTGGGAGTAAAAGACCTTTCGGAGAAGATGAACCAGATTGGTTTTCGTATTCAAGAACTCCGGCAACTGTGGAATTGTCGAAGGTGCCACGACCGGTGAAATATGGTCTAGCCGCCATTAAGAAAGTGGCACTAGGTGGATTGAGTTTGGTCTTGAGGAGCACATTGGTGGTTTGTCCTGGTGTAATGAGGACAATGTCTGTTTCAAATGGCTTGACATATATTGCATCAGCTTCAACCACCGTGAGGGTGTGATTTGCTATCCCGAAAAAGAGATCATCATTCAGTGCAGCGTTGATCAAACGGAGGAGATATGTCTTCCCTGCCTTAACCCTTAGCTTAAATGTATCTGCGGTTGTGATTCTGATTTAGTAATTAACTTAATTGTCTAATTTGTGTATTCAATTAAAGAAATTTTGAAATATACAATACCATTTTCAGAACAATTGTACAGTGGTCCAGGGAAGCCATTAATGGTGTATGCATCGGAGACATTTGGACTTCCTCCACTCTGTAGTGCCTGGCTAATAACCGCCTCCTGATCAACATTCCACCACTCACCTGTAATTCAAAGTACTATATATAATATAGTTGTCTGAACGAAATTTAGACATTGCCTGCTTGGTTCGATTTTTTAAAACCTTATCGTGATCTCAAAGAATGTATATTTTTTGAGAGAAAATTATAAAAAGAAATTGTCTAAAAAAGGATTTTTTTTAGAAAACAGTCCGAATAGACTTTTATTATATTTTTTTTCAGAAAACTGAACCAAACATATTACTTTTTTACTACAGAATAATAAGTATATTATGGGATTAAACTGATGGTGTTCCGGGGTTGGTTGTTACCGAATGTAATGGGGACTTCTTTGTAGGGTTTCTGAAAAGGGTAGGAGACATGGCGCTTGGGGAGGATGATAACTGGTCCATAAAGGGTAGCTCTTAGCCAAGAAATGTGGGCATGCCAGAAGAAAGTGCCTCTCTGGCCAACAGTGGTGAAGTTGTAGACATAGGTCTGGCCGGTTTGAATGGGGCACTGAGTTATATATGCTGGTCCATCTGCCCATCCGTTCCGAATTTGTCGGATTCCATGCCTGTTCTCATCATCCACCATTCATCAAATGCAATTAACATTAGTAGTCAGATTGGTAATTAAGTTATACAAACATTAACACAGATTATATTCACATGCATAACAGACCATATAATAGTCAGTAAAATCAACGGCTGTCTCTAATTTTTTTTTTTTTTTTGCGATCCGGACTTTACCCTACATGAATCGGAAAAAACTCGGCCTACAAAATTTCTAAAGAATTATTTGCATGATTAATCATGAGCTTCATGAGTAACCAAGTCTCTAATTTTACTGTTGTTCTCAACTGGTATTTAAACTTTGGGCGAGGCTTATTTTGGGCTTTTGCTTCTGTTCATGGGCCTTCTGTTGGGGTCGCTTATGGTCTGCTTTTCTGCTTCAAGCTTTTAAATTTCTCAGCCCATTTGTTCTGGACTTTGTGCTTTATATAAGTTCTTCATGTATGCCCCTATGCATTAGCATACTCTTTCTGTCCATTATACTTGTGCACTTATGAGACACACAGTAATTTGTTTCCCTTTTATTGAAATTTTTTAAAATAAATCAACAAATTAGACTTTAGATGAAAAAATATGGCCATATATAATTTCAATTGCATGATCTCACATTGAATCACATTTTATTATTTCTTTAATAAAAGATTTCGGAAGATTTGAGAAAGTGTCATTTTTTTCTCAATTTCCAAGCCTCCAACAAACTATCAAAGCATGACACATCATCATTTTTATAACTACTTATTATAATTGTTTCTTAAATACACAGTTTTAATCCGAGCAATGATGATATTGTAGTATTTGTCAGTCATATTTAAACTTGGAGATACTTGAATAAATAAATAAAATTAGAGATTCTTCATGTCCGTTAAGGGTCTTAAAATAAAGAAGATTTAAAAATCAAAGCCAACAACTTCAAAAAATAATAATAATAATAATAATAATCAATTTAAGAAATATTAAGGAAGCAAAAATTTCACATTAAAACAGAGCGACAATTTTGAAAATTGTAAAATTGTAGAAAATTCTAGTCAATTAGTCAAGTATTCTAAAGTTAAGTAAGTCAAGTCTCTAGATTGATTCAGAGAAAGTTTAAAATTGAAAGTAGCTAGGCCTTCACTTGTAGAACCGAAATACTAGAACATCTTCCTTGGAAGGTAATACAAAAAAATGATTCGAAAGAATATTTCACTTCCCTCCCACCTTTCTAATAAAAATTCAATTTTATTTACTTCACACTTTTATTTGTTCATGCAAAGTTAATAATAGACCATAAAAAATCAAATAGTGTAAAAAAAAAAAATCAACAATGATATCAGAACACAAAGTCCTCGAATTGAAGAAAAATCCAACAAAAAGAATGGCAAAGCTTAAACAGCTTTGGATTTTTATAATAACAAGATGAAGCTAAGGAATTAAGTTGATGGTTTCATGTATACCAATGGATGCTGACATTATTCGGAACATGATTCACCACCTTCACCAGTATACGATCACCTTCTCGAGCAACAATGCGAGGCCCTGGAAATTTTCCATTCACAGTCAGCATGCTCTTTGTGTGACACAATCTGGTTACATTTTGCAACCTTACCTGCATTAATATTAATGAAACACAAAATCAATAAAAGCAAACGCTTCTTATATATAACTAGGGGATTAGAGTTAATGACACATACATTGAACTTGTAATGCCTTGTATTAATGCCTGCATTTGTTGTAACTGCAACCTCAGGACACAACCAAAAACAGCTCAAGACACATAGTAAAGAACTCACAAATGCTGGTGTTGGCATAAGAGAAGCATGCATGTCTTGTAACCAATATTAGAAAGAATAAAAAGCTTTGTGAAAGTTTTTTACTAATTAGTATGGAATGACTACTCAGCGAACCTGTTTATATAGACATGCTAGGGTGTGTTTGGTTGGGTAGGTAATTAAAGCCAAAAAATAAAAAAAAAACATTTTAGAAATGAAAATATATAGAAATTGTGATAATAAAAGAACTTTTTTGATTTTCTAGTATTAGTGATCGGAGGACATTACCGATCTAGTTGATAGATCAGCCGTTGTTCCAAAATTCCCAACCATTAATCTTGATGATCAAAACATACTAAAGGATCACCATCTATCCATGCTTATCAATCAATCTTTCCATCAAGTCATGTTTGTGTCCATGTTAATATTTTCATGTACGAATGCGTGAGACAACAAAAGAGAAGGACATTTGGCCCAAACATCCTCATTTTTCATCACTTATTAGTTAACCAAATTGACTGAATTTGTAGTTGCACCAACCATCCCCTTTTCTGATGAAATAAAAATTCTCAACTTACATGTTCTCTATTCTCATATTACTTTCTGTTATTGCATATACCATATTCAGTTGGACCGTATATTCCTGAAATAAATACGGTACATTACATCCTTTTTTATCAATTCATACTATTAATTAGGCGGCAACTATCCTAAGAGCATCTTCAACTTTTGTGTATATATATATTTTTTTTGGTGTAAAGCTGATGTGTCATAATATATTTATACAAAAAATTTGGATATATTATTTATTTTTAGCTTTAGTGGTTGTTGTATATCTTTTGTGTAAAAATATATTTTCCAATAACAACCAACCAGTATCATGCCTGGAGCTACATAATTTTTACATGTTATGCTTGGAGGCACATAATTTTTACAAACTTACTTAATATACTGTTGATTCGTTAATAAAATGAGAAAAAAGGAGGAAAAAAGAAATAAACTGATGTGACTGTGTTAAAAGGTAATGTAAAATACACAACAATTTTAAACATTGGTGATATGGCAGTGTCTCTTAACACACTTTTGGAGATTAAAAAATAAATAAAAAATTTACATATTATACATAGCAGTGTATATTTTACAAAAAAATAAAAAAGAAAATAAAAATTGTTTTAACAAATTGCTGCAGATGCTCTAAGTAAGTTTAGGGGTATATTTTGGGCAATAACTTAATCTTTGAGTTAGATTCACATTTGAATCTAGTTCATTAGAAAATTACACACCATTACAGTGATGTTATAACGAAATTTTTTTAAAAAAATAGATTTTCTTTAAAATGAGTTTCATTTTATGTTATCTTTTTCCTTTTTAGTTTTTTAAAAAATAAATATATTTAAGAAAATTTTAAAAATTGGTCCAAGCTATTATCATTTTAATTAACGAGGCACCATTATAAAAAACATTTTGAGAAATTTTTAACACTACTGTGCCAATGAGTTATCTATATTAATTTTAATTTAATATTAAGGTGCATTTTCATCATCATAACATTAATTAGCAACAAATTCAATAAATAGGGGGTTTCATGTCAAAAAATTTCTCTTGCCAAATTTTGAAAGTAAAAGGAGTTTTATACAATTTGCCCTTATATATATATATATACACCATCATCGTGGACAATATATATCCATCATCGTGGACAATATATATATTGTCCACGATGATGGTGTATATATATTATTGTCCACTTCCACGTGCACTCAGTAATTATCAAGAAATTGATATTATTAAAAAATATAAATAATATTACTATTGTGACATTAACCACTTGAGTCCAATCCAAGACTAAACAACAATTATTTCCTAATCACAATGAAACAATTTTATCACTTCAAAATTATTTATTAATAGTATTAATATTATGTGTGGAAGTATTATTTTCCCTCCTATTTCACTTTTCTAACTTGTTTTTATGGAATATTAAAAACAATGAAAACGGTAGCCCGTTATTTACTGGACAAACCTCAAAAAATGGTAATGATGATTGTTAGTTCATTGACGCAGGACTTAACAGGTAAATGACACATTGGTAGCAAAATTGGTATTGCAGGTTAGAGGAAGTAAAGTCCACATGAGGAAGTTTGTAAGCTCTAAGCAAATTAATTAACATTACAACTGATGGAGAGACGAATCACACAAATTCTTTGAATCATCCGAACTCGCATTTTAATTTACTTAACATTGTTGGAACCAAACCTTCTAGAAGCCACACAAATTATTTTTGATATAATTGGATTAGTTCAAAGCAATTATTTATTATTATTATTATTTTTGGGTAAATAAGGCGTGTTAACATTCCTTATAAAGACTCCTATGTATATACTCGTTTTGTACAATACATTTCATGACGTGCATGATATATAAAAAATGATAGAATCAAATGATGTTAGAAGGCAATAAATTGAAACATTTGGAGGCATCAAACTCAAAGTCACGTAAAGTAGGAGTGAGTGCAAAAGCGGGAGCAAAAGCTAGAGCGCGAAAGCGTTAAATTATATATATATATATTTTTCAAAGCTTTGTGTTTTTTTATTTATTTAAATCCATATTTAAATATATTTATTATTTTTTATTCCATTAATGATATATGTAATAAATAAGCTAATTTTTTTATAGGTGGTTTATTTGTAATATTCTCCAATTGGAAAGTTTTTTAATGGTATATTTTCAAACATGTACTATATATGTGTTTGTGTGTGTGGGGTATGGTAGTATAGCAATGCTATACAGCTGAGCACACGTGCAGTTTAAGTAATTAATCTATATATTGAGCAATAATGTAAGTAATAAATGCATATAATATAATATAAGTATTCCATATCACTGTAACAAATTTAGCTATATAAAGTAAATTCATATGGAAATCGTGAATTAGGAAAACAAATTCGCTAATTGTAAAAATTGAATTCGCTGAATTTTGTGCGAATTTGCTCCCAAATCACAAATTCACCCTACTCACCCCTTGTGTTCCAATAATAAAATAACACATAGCTTTAATAATAAAATCAGCAAAATAAAAAAAAAAATAAAAAAAAAAATTCGGATCAACCCGTTTAAATTGGGTAATCACCCTTTTTAAATTGGGTAATCACCCTCTTTCTTTCCCCTCTCTCTTTCCTCTCTCCACTGTTCTTCTTCTTCATCCTTCCTCTTTTATATCTGAAATGACAGGTCACCAAAACTTAGCTACCAATGGCATTGGTTGATTGATCGAAATACAAGCATACCACACAATTTATCATAGGGGTAAGTGCAAGAAACACCCTCGAAGTATACATTTCATAGCACTTTCACCCCTATTTAAAAAGGTGTGCAAAAAACACTCTTATTCTTTTCAATTTGTGCGAAAACACCCCTCAATTAATATAATGTCCATTTTACCCTTTTACTCTTCCAAAAATACCCCTACCAAACCAATCTTGTTGATGCCAAGGTCACATATATTGCAGACGATCGGGAAAACTACCGGAAAGGAAGTGGGTCAGAAGGTGAGTTACTGTATCTGTATATATATATATATATGTGTGTGTGTGTTATGTGTTTATATTGATTATGGATTATATCTGTTAGCACTCAGTAGCTTTTTTTTTTTTTTCTTTGAACCGGGTCCTCTAACCTCCTCTCTTTCTTTCTCTAACAGATGGGCGACAAACCCATCTCTCCCGCGAACATAACCACCAATTGCCACCTTCTCCACATTGTTTTTCTCTTCCTTTAACATGAAGTGCAGTTCGCCGGATCGTTGTCGCCTCTCCCTAATTTTCCCTGAACGGTACTTCAACTCCGGCCTCGACCCATGCCCAGATCCCAACTCCGGCCTAGGCTCTTCATACTCGCTCTTAAGATAGTACCAACCAGACCTCAGATCAGCCGTGGTTCCTCGCCGAGCAACCTCATCGCCGGAATCGCGCCATATCCTCACCGCCTTATGGCCTTCTGCCGCTACAAATCAGTCTCCTCCAAAGGTGGTTTCCCCTGCCACGTCGATTGAGTTGTCCGCCGGAGACGCCGCCGGATTTTCATGAAGCCTATACATCGAACTTAAGATAACCTTACAAATTGATTTTTAAGTATGAATTGATTTGAAAATATCTTTGTTGCATGAGCTATACGAGCATCGATTTGTGAAATTCCTCATAAATGGTTATACTTGGTAATAACCGGATTTTTAATTAGGCTTTAATGCTTCCTCATAATCGTCGGATTTGTGAAATTCCTCATTAATGCTTCCTCATAAATGAAATTCTTCATTTGTGGTTCATCTTACTTGATTCATGCCTGATTTTTATTTTTGGGAACTCTTTAGATATCATTTTGGGTGGTTTTGATGTCTTCCAAGGAAATTTGGGGCGGGTTTATATAAAATTACAAGAGTTGATTTGGAGCTTTTGGGGGCACAAATGGGTTTCGTAATTGCTATGTACTTTAATTTATAATTTTTGTGTTGTGCCGTTTCGGAAACAGAGAATGTTTTGGTAGTTGGTGTGAAGATACATGGCCGTTGTCCGCCGGAGACATCGCTGGATTTTCATGCTTCTTCCCCATTCCAATTCCTAACAAAAAGGGGCTGAAGAAGGTGAAGAGCGTTGATCCCATTGCTCACCGACATCGCGCATCGCCGATTCCCATTCACAGACCCGTTATCTCCTGTACTCCCCGGCAACGTGTGTGTGTATATATATATATATATATATATTATAAAATGTGTTGCTAAGGGCATTTTAGTCCAATTTTTTTAAGTAGGACCCATTTGCACAAATGTTATAGTTTAGGGGTGTTTTTTACACGGGTGGGGTGCAATATGCACTATATGCATAATATAGGGGTATTTTTTGCACTTGACCCATTTATCATATCAGGTCCCTCATCGGTGCCAAGCTAGCCGATCACGCAACAGAGCCAAGCATAATCAAACACTCTCCCTGGCAAGGACATTAATCTAGGTATTGAATGGGGTCACGAAAGATTGCTTCTCAGCCCAAAGGAAAATTAGGGTTTTGGATACAAATCAAAAATCAAAATTTCTCGTGACAAAGAGAACTTAATTGGTTCGATTTCAGTTTTGTCCAAGCGTTTGGTGTACTGAGAATTGGGATACATATGGGAGGTAACTTTGACTTCATAAAATATTTTATTTTTTTTAAGTGAACAATTAAATTGTGACAAAATTATCTTTAAAAGGTCACTTTCTTCCTCCTCTTTTTTGTTTTTTATTTTTTTATTTATGCTCTTGATGGTCCAGGTTGAGTTTTACTATGGACCATTGAATAAACATACAAGGCTTTTCTAAGTTTTCGTTACCACCGTGTCATTATTGATTGATGATGTCTCATGGAAGTGAGAAGAAGAAGAATGGAGAGTGAGTAGGATGTGGGGTTTGGGAAGCCATGAAAAAAAGAAATAAAGGAGAAAGGGTGAAGAAGAACAGTGGAGAGAAGAAAGAGAGAGAGAAAAAAGAAAGGGTGATTACCCAATTAAAACAGATTGATCTGACCTTCTTATTTTATTTTTAGGATTTTTGGTGATTTTGTTATTGAAGTTGATGTGTTATTTTGTTATTGGAACACATAAAGGGTGGATATGATAAAACAACTCGAGTAGTTATAAGCATTGTCTAAAACGAAAAATGGTATTATTTATTAGGAAATTAAATCCAAATGAGTAAACTCCAAGCAAATTAATAGTACATCAGATGGATACGCGACACCAACTTACACGACACCAACAAACTTCACTTCGTCAAATTTCTTTACTCCCCTTGTTTTAGAACCAACCTTCTAGAAGTCATGTATCCAAGGAATATTCAGGTGAAAGTTTATTTAATAAAGATTTAACTAACAAATTGCTGATAAATCATGTCTAGTTAAAGTGATTTGATTGGCCATTTCAACCTATTTCCACGTCAAAGAAAACCAAACGGATTCATTTCTTCATCAAGTTTCATCACTAATTTTTGCATCTAATTAATGACCATAATCTATAGTTACAGGTGAATGAATTCTAACGTGTGATAGATATGATAAAATGATTATTAATATATAAATTTGCAATCACCACCTCCTTTGAAGGGTATGTCTAGTTAAAGTGATTTGATTGGCCATTTCAACCTATTTCCACGTCAAAGAAAACCAAACGGATTCATTTCTTCATCAAGTTTCATCACTAATTTTTGCATCTAATTAATGACCATAATCTATAGTTACAGGTGAATGAATTCTAACGTGTGATAGATATGATAAAATGTTTATTAATATATAAATTTGCAATCACCACCTCCTTTGAAGGGTATTATTTCATTTTAGCATTTCCCTTAAATTTTCCCTAAATTTTCCATCATTAGGATAATTCCTAAAGAGTTCCAAAAAGACATTAATTTTTGTAAATATTTTCCTTTATATTTTGTTTGCAACATTTGGAAAGTGATAAATTTAACATATCTTGTTTTTTCCGAACATGAGCTCCCTGGCTGCTTGTGAAGAGTCATCTTTGATAATTATATATATATATATATATATATATATATATATATATAGACTATAGAGTTGAAGAGTCGTACTACGAATAGTATATGTGTGAAGTCAGAAGAATGGCTCACTGGCTTGAAGAGTGATAGCATTACATATAATATCTCATAAACATATATACCTCATGGTGGACGTCAAATGTTTTAAGAAATGCAAGATAAGTCACCAATTCTTAGAAAATGCATAATAAAAATGTGTATAATGTACTTAGATGCATAACAAACATGTATATATTTCTCTTTTGTCTCTCTTTCATTCTCTTTTCACTCCACTCTTCTCTTTTCTTCTCTTTTAGAAGTAGGCCGATTTGTGGTCGGGTTTGTTTTTTGGTGGTTGGATGTTCATGTTAGTTTGTGATTTGCTTCAGTTGTGCTGAATAAGGAGTCCTTTTGCACAACAATATGATATGTTTGGACCGTCAAAAGTCCTAACAGACAATATTGGCATGTTTTTTAATACGATTTTGACTAGTTCATTTTGAGAGATGAGAAACTCATATTCAATGAAAACGCCCAACAAAAAAGGCTAGCTTACTACCAAATTTCATCGTTTTTTTTTTGTTACAAGACTAAACAGATTTGGATTCTTCTGATATTGTACATTTATTTTAGTTTATTGATTATGTTTTATCTACTATTTTTTCTTTTACTCTTTCATTCTCTTTTCACTCCATTGTTCTCGATCTTTTCTTCTCTTGTAGAAGTAGGCCGATTTGTGGTGGTGGTTTTTTATTTATTTTTTTATTGGTGGTTGGATGTTCATGTTAGGAGTACTTTTACACAATAATATGGCATGTTTGGAGTTCATTTTGAGAGATGAGAGACTCATATTCACCCAACAAAGAAGGCTAGCTTACTACCAAATTTCATTGTTTACCTATGCCATGAAATTGCAATTTTTTGTTAGAAGCTAGACTAAACAGGTTTGGATTCTTCTGATTTTGTACATTTATTTTAGTTTATTGATTATGTTTTATCTACTGTTTTTTTCTTCTTCTCATTTTTAGAGATAGGTTTCGTTACGATGTTAGGTTTTCTCTAATTATTCCGAATAAGATACAGATTCATAAATAATATTTCAAAATTATTTTGTAAATATTCATAGCTTCTGCTGCTTGAAAAGAGCAGCTTGATACTGCCTCCATGGTAGACAGTTTAGACATGGTTTTAAGGTTACAAGATAATCGGATATATTGTACATAATCACTGAACAATTTTCTCATGCTTATTTGTTTGCTACTTAAATAAATCCTTGCAAATTAGTTTTCCTGAAAAAAGTTGCTTTGATATCAATTATTCCACTCAATTATGGCTTCCAAATGCCAAATAGTACAATAGATCCAAGAAAAAGAAAAAAAAAAAAAAAAAAAAAAAGAAAAGGTTTTGCAATCCTTTTACATGCACACTCCGGCAAGTTTATTATACAATTCACAGAAAACCATTTTCTGTACAAGTTATCTAATCCCAAATCATAACTACAGCAATAACACCCACTCCAACAAGCACGGCAAGAAACCTGAAAAAAGGAGTGTCGAATTTACAGTGACCTTGTGGTTTGAAGCCTTTTGCTATAAGATGGTTGATGGCAACATAGATGAAAACTCCACAAGCAACACCCATTGCGATAGCATAGGTCCAATCAGCTGCGCGGCCTTGAGTTGTGGCATCAATGGCAATGCCTATCCCTACTCCAACAGGGCTCGAAATGGCAAAGGCAAAAGAATAAGCCACCGTCGTCACTAATGGCCTCTTTGGCATCATCCTCAGCAGCGCAATCCCCATTGCAATGGCTGCGAATATTTTGTGCAACGAAATTGTCCACAAGTTCCTCCATGCATCCCCCTTGTTTGCTGAAAACAAAATTTATTGAATGATATAATGTATAGTAATAGGGACCCTGATCCCCTCCATTGTTAGGATCCGGTCTTGTGCGTTCTATGCATCAAAATCCATTTTGGTGCACAGGAATCTTACTTGGATTAGACTCCGTATCTGTGTACCTACACCATATTGGTGTATAGAAAGCACAGAATCAACTCCCGCACAGGAGAGATCCTCTTCCATAGTAATAGTACCAAGTCTCAATGGTATAAATAAGAGTAGTGGTTATTGATCAATAGTCATGGTAGTACCTACCTTTCTGGATAATTTCTAGTCATTTTGGTAGATAAAGGACTTGTTAGAGCTAGCTAATGTTGGTTTTAGTTTCAAATGAAGTTCTAGATTCAAGAACCAAGCTCAATGGAGATATAAATGAGTAGGTTCAATTGCAAAGTAATGAACACATGCAGTGGTGAGAGAACATTATATATATACATATATATACTAGTTTACCTGCTACTCCAACAGCTATACCCTCAAAAACTGAATGGAAACACAAGGCAAGGATTAGAAGAACTGTGTCCCCAAACGACGTCGTCGTCACAAGAGTTGGGTTGAGATCCATTCCTCCTACCTCCTCAACTGCATGATCCTCATGAGCTCTGCTTCTGCTTCCTTCTTCCACCTCCACTTTGGCTTCTTTTTCCCCTCCCCTCGTAACGAAAACCACTATGCAGTCACCAAACATGGTGAGAAGATAACCCACAGAGGCTAACATGAAAGCAAAAGGGTATGTTTTTGTGGTAAGATCTCCAAAAGTGGAGGCTGAGTCACTCAAGAAATGCATCAGGGATGTACCAAGAAACACCCCACCAGCAAATTGAGTGCCCAAAAGAAGAAAGCTTTCGTTCCACCGATAAAAATAAGGCGAAACTCCGCCAACAAAAGTGCTCACAAGCAGAATGATCAGACACCATATTTTCACCAGAATCAAGCCTTTTGAATGCAAATCGTGTGTGTCGTGATTGTCACCTCCGTGACCATTGATCAAACATAATTGTTGGAAAAAAAGGAAAACTACTATGATCAAGGAGGTTGACTTGAGAGGTTTGAATGTGGCCATGAATGAGCTTTGTTGAAGCCCTCTCTCTGTGTCTCTATCTCTTGTTTGAATTAGTCGTTAGATTAGTTACTACTAGCAAAAGATATAAAAATACAAGAGCTTGAGAAGCAGATATGTTTCCATGTCTTGTTTGCAGTACAGTTTTGACTTTGCAAGATTTGTAGTACACTACACGCCAGTTATACAGTGTAGCCGTGGACCGATCTCAGGCCTTGATCAAACAATTGCACCCTATTTTTATATGGACTGATATTTTATTAATCATTAAGTTATACAATAATCATTGCAATATTATGCGCATGTTTCAGGGTCGAATTAACTGTATTTTGTGAGTAGTTTCGTCACACCATTCTGATGGTGACAAATTGTTGAGGTTTTATTACAAACTGTATAGGGTGGTTTCAATTTTTTATCAGAAAAAAAAAAAAAAAAAAAAAATCAATCTTTGATATAGTGCATGTCATGCAAAAACTTTTTTTTTTTCGGAAAGTCATGTCATGCAAAAACTTACCATCCAAACAAGTGAGAAGTCTCGCCATATTTTTTACCGTCATCTGACATTAATTTTTTTAAAAAAGCATACCAAAGTTGCTCCTAAATTGACTCATCCAAACCAGGACAACAAACTTTGAAGATGTTTACATTTGACTATTACTACGTTGGGTTAGACAAATTTTGCCTGAAAGAAAGCCTGATAGGTAGGAATGTGATGATATTGGTAATTACATTTATTAATAATTTCTTACTTTATTTCCTTTTTTATTACTCATTAGTCAAAATTCACTATATATTCCAAATATAACAATACAACTGTGGTAACATACTGACAAGCACAAATGGATACATAGGGCTATCGGGATGACTATTTTTCCCAATCGGACGAGTTTTTGCCCCGTTTTATATTTAGTGGGGCAAATTTGGTAACAATTTAAATGGGTTTGGAACGAGTGTGATGAAGTAATTAAAAACTCAAAATAGGTTTATGACAAGGCGGATTTAATAATAAACTTGCCCCGATTATATATGTATTTTTAATTTTTTTTTATATATATTTAATATTTTTAAGACTCATGTTATGTTGCTAGAAGTGATATTCACTACTTAGTAATTTAAAAGTTAGATTAGCTTATTTATTAGCACATTGACCTAGTTTTGTTTTTTTTTTTTTTTGTTTTTTTTTTTTTCACATAATAAAAGTGACATAACCCAACCCATCCCGTCCCGCAATTAAACGAACTACGCTAGGCAGAATTGGTACTTTGTCCACCGGAGTAGAGACGAGAATGATATACAAATTACAAATTCGTTCTGAAATAGGGACGAATTTGGTTTGACAAATTTTCTAACAAAGAGGAGTAGAGTTTAATCAAACCCGCCTAAACTCCATCCCGTTGTCATCCCTAAAAGGGATGGGATTTAATTCTTTTCGCCAAAAATCAATATATATATATATATATATATATATAACAAGAAATATTTTTCAAAAATTTTGGCTAACTATTTCATTAATACAAGATATAAAATTAAATGTGATGCCTTGAAGAATAAGAATGGTTTTCATTAACCATTTTCAAAATTATTAATATTCAGAATGAGAGAAAATTATCTCTAAATTACACGTGCATTCTCAATTTAATTTCTACACACACTGTCTACGCAATATAACTATGACCAAATTACCAATGACTTTCCACAATGGTATCGAATCAATTAATACAATTATACATAATTAAAAAATATTTTTTAATGCAATGATTTCCCAATAATTTTTAAAAAATTTGTTAATATAATTATACACAATTTAAAAATAATACAACTTTTTTTTGGGGTGTTTTCCTGGTGTTTAGTAGGGGTAACATAGTAATTTTACTCACAGGAAGGGCAATTTTGTTACAAACTCTGCCAAACCTCAAAGGAGGTTGGCCACTATTTTGACCAAATTTTATTCTAGGTTAAAAAAGTGAAAACTTCAAAGGGTTTGCATTTACCCTAATATAAATATAACTAAAGCAAAATTGTCAATTAATGTACCAATTAATATAGTTATTTATAATGACATTTAATTAATTAATTATTATTAGGTAAAGTTGATATTTTTAATATTACATAGATATTTTTAATATTACATATTGGATAGATGTTGTAGTAAATATAGCATATTCGTTAGATTTTGTTGTAAAAATAACATACCATTTTGTGTTACTACCACAAAAACAGAAAATTTAAAGCTGCAAAGTTCTAGAGTCTCCTTTACTAAAGTAGAAAAACATCAAACACTATTGATTACACAGAGGGGTATTGTAGAAATTTTACTATATTTTAACATGTTACCTGTACTTGCCCCCTCAAAAACCAAACAACATGCCCTAACAAGGTAGGTCGGTCACTTCTGTTCTGTTCTCCCCCGAATCACCGAATTTAATGTTTTACGTGTCACTCACAGATTCCACCTTTGAAACACGAGGAAAACAACCACCATCATCATCCCCCACCCTCTCTCTCTGTCTATATATAATATACAAACATAAAACATATACACACAACATCAATCGGTTAACACTTGGTCAATTACTCCCTATATTTCAGGAAAATTATTTATTTTACAACATTTAACCAATTGCAAAAACAAAATAAATGTTAGAAAAACATAAAGAAATACTATATATATATATATATATATATATATAAAATGGGTGACTGTATTTAATCGTATAGTGTAGTTGAACACACACCAAAACCCTAAAAGGGGTTTCTTTGTAAGAACAATTCGCCGCTGGATTGATCAGACTCATAAACTTCTTAAACTTCTACCTTTCATTTCTCTTGTTCTCACCACCCTCCGCTCTCTGTTTTATCGCAACACTTTCTTACACTGTTTTTCTTGTTGCGGTTAGTGTCACTGCTGCAACTAATTGCGAACATGTTGCCGGAATTTGTTTTCCTTTATTTATAGTTCCTCGATTGATGATGAAATAGCCGAGTCAATATTTAGCTTCTCTGTTCGATCGACGACTTTGATTGTTTCAGAGTGAAATGAACTTTTTTTAAGTTTTGATGATCAAGGTTTGATTTTTATGAGTTTAAAGATGATTTTGTATATATATATATATGTTTGAGTTATAGGTGCTTTAGATTATGAAGTTCTGATTTGGGCTTGCTTTTTAGTGTTTTTAGGGTTTGTGGAATGAGTGTTTGATTGTGGTTTCTGAAAATGTTGTCTGAAATGGGAAGGAGACCGATGATTGGTGGTAACGAAGGATCGTTTGGAGATGAATTGGAGAAGGAGATAGGATTGTTGCTTCGTGAACAGAGGCAACAAGACCCCGACGACCGTGAAAAGGAGTTGAATTTGTATAGAAGTGGCTCAGCTCCACCTACTGTTGAGGGTTCATTGAGTGCAGTTGGTGGGTTGTTTAATCACGGTGGCAGTGGCAGTGGCAGTGGCGGCGGTGGTGCTTTTTCAGAGTTTGTTCATAATAAGAGCGGCGGTAATGGAGTTATGTCTGAAGAAGAGCTTAGGTCTGACCCTGCTTATTTATCTTATTACTATTCTAATGTGAATCTAAACCCTAGGTTGCCACCTCCATTGCTTTCGAAAGAGGATTGGCGGTCTGCGCAGAGACTGAAAGGAGGGAGTACAGGGTTTGGGGGGATTGGAGATAGAAGGAACATAAGTAGGACTGATAGTGGGAGATCGTTGTTTTCTATGCCCCCGGGGTTTAATTCGAAGAAAGGAGATAGTGAGGGTGAGCAAAATAATGTTGGCAGTTCGGCTGAGTGGGGTGGTGATGGACTGATTGGCTTACCTGGGTTAGGTCTAGGTGAGAAACAGAAGAGCCTTGCTGAAATATTTCAGGTGATTTTCTTACATACTTTTGGCGTATTCCATTAAGCTTTCTTATATACTCAGTATTTATTTGTTGTGTTCTGATTCATTTGTTATTTAGCATAAATTATTCTTCATATGTTTGAAAGTTGTTCTTGATACGATGTACATTTTGTACTCTTACTCAATGTTAGGTTGTGCATAGAGTATTTGTAATCACTTCATTTGTCTAATTATATTAATTGTTTCCTCTTGATTTTTAGCATGTACAGTATTGTACACTTTTGTGCATATTGAGTTGTCTTATAAAAAAATTTCTGCTATGTATGTATGTCTTTAAAAGGTGTAAATGTGTTTATTGACTTATTCCCCTCTTTGCGGGTGTTAAAATTTTTTTTTTTTGGTCGTTTTTTGTGATTTTGTATCTTTTTATTTCAATAACTTTCTTTTCTATTAAGTTTTGTTTTACTGAATGAATTATTTCGTACGTGGCTAGTGTTTGAAATTTGAGAGTACTAAGGATCTTCACTGATAAAATGATATTCTTGAAGTAGTGCTTTTGTAATTATTATACCTAGTTAAGTAAATTATGTTTCCTGTAAATGAGTCGAGCCATATGATTCTTCAATAGTCAATAAGTCCACTGTATAAATGCATCCTTATTAGTTAGAAAGCAAAATTTGTATTTCTTCTTTCAAATACATTAATTTCGCGTTTAGTTTCTTCTGCACTTTGAGCCTGTACCTAACAGTGTGTTGACGGATGGGACCTTGGATGCCCGTGGGGCATCATACATGTGTAAATCATGTCAGCTGTAACTCTGTTGTTATGTGACCTGCTGGAACAATTCCCATTTATCCCTTTCACTTCAATTGTCGTTTCACACATTTGCCTCAACATCTCTAGCTAGACTTATGTAATGAATGCACTTTGCTTCGGCTGCTGAATTAAAATCATAATCCATAGCTTTTTTTTTTCTTTAAAAAATTTTAGTAGCCTTATTTGTGTAATATTTTGTCCTGGCACTCTACTTTGTGAGTGCAAGTGTATTTACCACCATCAGTAAGTACAAAAAACAAAAGATGGAGTGCAAATAATGCTGGCCTGGATTTCTGGTTGAATTTATTTTAATGCAATCCAATCACTAAAAATTGTATGTAATCACCTTCACTTTAGCCTCACACGATTATAAGGAACAAGTTCCTTTTTGTTCTAAAATTGGATTTAAGAAGCTCATCATCAAAGACTGTAACCTAATGTTACTTTTAAAAGGTTGCTGGTTCAATTCCTCACGGGCAAAGTTGGTGTGTGAGTTTCAAATGGAAAAAAAAAAAAATTAGATTTAAGAAACCTGGAAAATTGTTGGTTTTAAGGCAATTCTTGGCTATCATTCCTTACTTAATCTCTCAGTCGGATGATACTACTATTGCGTTGGTTTTTCTAAATCACAGTATCTAAAGTCCCAAGTCCAATGCCCTTATGTTTCTTATGATACATTATGTGGTTGACCAGGGTCCAAGTTTCTATTGTTCTTTGACATCATGATCTTCAGAATTCATTGTATGAGGATTGCAATTCATATTAAAACATAAAAATAGCATTACTAACTTAAGATTAGAACTAATATTAAATAAGAAAATAATCCCTTCAAACACCTATAACAGAAAGATTGAAAAGCTGGCACATTTTCATTCCAGTGGTGCTAAGGCCCAACTTCATCATATGTCCTAGTGGAGACACAGGTAGAACTCATTTAGAACTCCTTTATTGAACTCTTTCAGTAAAATTATCTTTATTGTTTTGCTTTATATTAATTTAACTATTTTGGGTATGAATATTTGTCGGAAAATTTTTCAAAGATTAGTTATTGGCACCTTAAGCGAAGTGGGTTAGGTGCATGGGTTGAATCAACGGGGAGCAGGCAGGTGCCGCTCCAAACCTTACAGTTCCAAAAAGCATCGAGCATTAAGTGATTTGGCTATTTGTAGGAACCTTGATTTAATTCATATGATCAACATAACCTCCAATACCCGTCTCTCATCCCTTTGGTGACTTTTTTTTTTTCACCGCAATGCTGTTCCTTTGGATGCAATGGCTAAATAAAATCTATTTTGATTTTCTTTGAACAAAATCTTTCACTTGTAGGAATTAAGATACACAAAAGAAACTTACCGAACTCTTTTAAGGTCTGTATTTAAGTGGCACAATAAAATAAAATTAATGAGAGTAAATGTTGTTTCTTTTTATTTTATGAGATTTAACTTCCCTTCTAAATTGAGAGTGTTAAAAAAGGATAACAATAACGAATTAAAGAACGTAACTTTTTACTAAATATTAGATGTGAGAAATAGGTAAATTCTTCTCCCCTCTCAGAAGAAAAATTTTCTGGTTCCAACCCTGGTCGGGAGTACTATGTGATCAGGATCAACTGAATGGAAGACAATTTTTTTTGAACTTTGGTTTATGTAATTGTATATTGGACAATTTAAAAGTAGCATTTTTATGAAATGGGCGAAGTTTGTAGTGAGGATTCTGGTATGAATAATCCATGGACCTATGGAAGTGGAATTGACAATTTGCAGTTTTAATTCTCGATGTTCATTGCATTCAGTGAAGATATAAGGAGAAGTGAGTAGAGTAATCTTTAGTACTAGAAAGATAATGACAGTACCTGTTTTTTTGGTTGAAAAGAAGGAGAAATTGACTGCATGTTTTTGCTGTGGTAAGTGAATACATTGTGGCATTTGCATTCTGATATGTTAACCGACTTAAAAAATTTATTTTTTCGTTCGAAAAAGTGACAGGATACGCTTTTCTTTAGATGGCATTTCTTGGTTATGAAATGCATGAATATAAATGTGTCCCATGGGTATGTTGTGTTTTTGAGTGGTTGTTAAGTGCTAGTGTCTGGCATGGTATGCTATAACTGTTTTGGAATGTGTGGTTGAGGCATAGGCGATGTGGGCCTAACCTACAGATTATGAGGCATCATTAAGTCACATCTCAGACCATGAAAACATTTCTTGCTTATGAGGCGTATATAAAATGTCTACGGAAGTTGGATTCATACACAACATGGAACTTAAATTCATTCAATTATTTTCTTGTTTGCTTAATGTAGCACTTCATTTGTCCTGCATGTACTTTTCTTTTCTAGATATTTTGGAGCTCTACCTTCACCGAGATGTCCTCATTGGTACTCAAACTGGAACTACTAATCTGCTATATGTTATGTTCTTGTCTTCACAGGTGTTTGTTACAATGAATCTTTGGTATGAACTTTCATTCTAACAGTTTTTCTGTTGTGTTAGAAAAGAACCTTAACTTCTAATATTTTGCTGACTTGAAATTTATTTCTTATGTTATAATGGTGGAATGGTATTTAAGTGGCATTAGGTATACAGTTTCACAGTAATTTTCTAGATCTTTCTTTACATTTGTGTATTTCTTGCAAGTTAAATGGGTTGATCCAAATATAATACCACTTTTGGCTGAGGTTTGGAGAATATTTTCATTGCTCTATGTGGAAAATTAATGAGAAAACTGTATCTGGCCTTGAGGTAGAGTAGTAGTGCAACTGGGCCATCCCGAATCTATCTTCTTAAAGATACATAACTGAGGACACCAAAATGACCCGGGCTTGGTATGATCCGTATTGCAAAGGACGGGTCGGGTATGGATAGACAGGATGGAGCAAGTTCACGCTGGATGGGCCCAGGTCCATAAAGTTATTGCAGAAGCCCATATTAAAATGAGAGAAGTTGAGTCCAGGCAAAAGGGAGCAGATAAGGCCCAGGCCAGAGGAGGTTGTAACCGTCTATAAATAAGGGAAATCGAGAGGGAAAAGGGGTTAGAAAGATTGGGAGTGAAAAATTTCTCTCTGTGTAATTGGGGGAAATTCTTTGTACTTTCAATTGGCGCCGTCTGTGGGAAGAACAGGAAGGATTGATTGATGTTGTTCCAGATCGATTCGATTCAAAGCACTCTGCGAGGAAGACGATTAATCTGCGAAAGCTGAATCAGCATTGGCAATAATACGATTTGTCTCGATGAGTCCAGGCTTCGGTTGATTTCGCGAAGTTGGCGTCCGATCCAAGCAGATCAGATTTGTACTTGATCCGGCTAACTGCACAATTGCGATCTGTTGTGATTACTGAATCCGGCCAGTAACGGACTGAATTCAGCAAGTGTGAGTTCAGATCTGGTGTATGCGCGTTAGCGGAACTCCGATCTGGTCAAGAAATCTGCAGTTGATGACTTTGTTCCGATCTGGAATGATGATCGGAGAGGCGAACTCAAATCCTTTGGAGAACGGCCAGCAGATGAAGCTCGATGAGCTGATGAACATGATCGACGCTTTGAGGAAAGAAAATGCAGAGCTACGAGTTGGAATGGAGCGTCGTGAGGTCCTGCAATTCCGAGGCCACCTCCTGAGGGAGAGGGAGCTTTACTGTCCCAAGCTGATCGTCAAGGTGATCTAGAAGGTGTCAATCGTGTTGATCCACGTCGTGATGAAGTTATAATCGGTGATCTGCCTCCGAATGTCCGTCGAGTAGAGGATCGAGAAGGATCTATTCATCTGGAACCACATCGCGAACGGATTATGAGGGACGAAGCACCGACATATGAACATAGGGTTTTGTCACCATAGCGAAGTGAGTTTGCGGAGGACAAGTCGTTCGATCCGCCTTACCGACCTTCATTAGTAACATTTGATTACCACAGTTCAGAAAGGAGATATGCTGATTGGGGGTTTCCGCCACGGTTTTCAAGGGAAAACGAAGCGTTGCGCTCATCAGCAAGAACGGTTGCATCTTCGTTCACTGATGAAATTCTGAACGCGCCGAATCCGAAGAAGTTCTCCATGCCGGTTTTCATTCTGTTTGACGGAACAACCGATCCGGTCGATCACATCTACCATATTCAGTTGAAAATGGCTCTGAATACTAACAATGATCCTTTGATGTGCAAATGCTTCCCTACGAGCTTGGCTGGACCAGCTCTCAATTGGTTCAAGAATCTGGCTCAGG